AAGCGGGAAAGAGTATAAGCGACACAGTGAAACAATCTANCGAGTGAAAGAAATTAGAGCTATAAAGAGAACTTCGAAACAGGAGATTAGAAGAAAGGAAAGGAAAAGGTTTTAAAGTTATAGGATAAAAATGATTGTCGCTCACGCTCCAAAAACTTATTTCGGTTCAGGATATATACAAAACTCATTGGGTTCTCTTCCTGGATTTCCATGGGCGAAATATGCCGGAGAAAAACATCTTCCGGGTCATAATTACACCGGTCCAGGTACTAGGTTAGATCTGCGATTAGACGAAAACGATAAACCCAAACCAGGGGAAGAACCAGTCAAAAGAGTTGACGCCGCCGCGCTTAAACACGACATACTATACAGAAACAAAGACATAAACTTCAGACACGAAGCAACCAGACAAATGATAATCGAACTTGAAAATATTCCAAATCCAACTTTCAAAGAGAGAATGCAAAGAGTATTAATCATTAAACTGTTAAAAGCAAAGATGAAATTGGGCATGGGATGGGCAGATGAAATTCATAAAGAATTTAGAAAAACTAAACTTTTTAAAAGTTAAAGTGTTTGAAAAAGATGAAATATGGTCAGCCGATTTAATTCATATGCCAGTCGAAAGAGGATTTAAATATTGCTTAACAGTTATAGATTTGTATACGAGATATGCTTGGGTTATTCCTTTGAAAAACAAAACGGGATTATCAGTCAAACACGCATTTGAAACGATTATGAAACAATCTAACCAACATCCAGAAAAATTGTTGGTAGATAAAGAAGTGAATTTTATAACAAAAATATGAAATCTCTGGGATTTGAAATTTACAGCACGCATAACGAAGGCAAAGCTGTAGTAATAGAAAGATTTAACAGGACTCTAAAAAATAAATTATTCAAAAAGTTCACGGAATTGAAATCTCAAAAATGGCTTAAAATATTACCAGAGGTTGTAGATGAATACAATAACAAAATTCATTCATCTATAGGTGTCACACCAACACAAGCCTCGAGTAATCCAAACATTGTACAGTCAATTAACGCGCAACATAACTACGAAAATGAAATAAAGAATTTAAATATCAAACCCAAATTTAAAGTCGGAGATCGAGTTCGTATTTTCAAATATAAAAGCAAATTCGAAAAAGGTTACGTTGGATACTGGACAAACGAAATATTCATCGTTGATAAAGTAAACACCACATCACCTCCGACATATGAATTAATCGATCAAGACAAAGAACAAAACATAGCACGGTTTTATCAAAAAACCGACTTTTAAAATTAATGAATTTCTCGAAGATGAAGAATTTGATAGAAGATTAAGAGATGTAGACAAGCATTTACGCTTTCTTAAATTTAAATTTAAATTTATATGCAAATTTTCAACAATACTCCTCAAAAAAACCGACTTTTAAAATTGAATGAATTTCTCGATAAATATAGAAGCGATACAACCACAAACTTTCAACTTATGAGATGGGCGAATGAGTTAAATATATCACCGTTTTATTATTGTATGACAGATGAAATAAATGATCTGAAATATAAGAAAGGTAAATTTTACGCGATAACAAATATACATACTTCCGATCAAAAAGGAGTTCATCATTCTGCTTTGTACAAAGACTCTTCAAATGACTTATATTTCTTCGATTCTTATGGATTAGAACCCACTGAAGAGATAATCCAATTGACTAATAAACCAATCAAATGCTCTTCCTTTCAAATTCAATTACTGGGACAATAGTTTTGTGGTCAGCTTTCACTTTGGGTTTTATATCAGTTGAGTTTAGGAAAACAGTTCGAAGAAATTGTAATAAATTTAACTCAATAAAAATGGCGAATAAGTTTGGATTTAAAAACTAAAACACCTAACACTACAGTGTGGATAAATAAAGCGAAACCTTACTTTGTGGATCAAATCGGAGACACTCTTCAAGGTGATTTAGATATGAACAATTTCAAAGTAACTAATTTAAAGTCTCCGGAAAATGATAATGACGCTGTTCACGAGAAATATTTACGGGAACAAATAAATTCAATTGAAGTAAATAAAAACCATTTAGAAGATAAAATAAGTAATGTGAAAAGATTCTTCAAACGTCAACTAAATAATAAAAATGTTGTTAATGATACTAAACTACAACAAGAGGTAAAAAGATTAAAAAGTTTTATTCAAAAAGAATTGGTCAACGTAGCGAATAAAACTGAGTTACAAAATTTAATTTCATTAATATCTAAATTAGAAGATAAGATTGCAAAACAAAAATTTGACATTCAACAATTGAGATAACATTCCAGATGGAAATGAAGATACGTTTCAACAGGAATTAAATGCTCTGGAAACTAAACTTAACAGTGAATTACAAAAAGAACTAACAAATATTAAACAACAAATACAAAACATAGATGAAAACATAGATGATAGCGAAATCAAAACCTATATTCATCAACAAATACAGAACATTGATGATAGTGTTATTCAACAACAGATAACCACTATTAATAACCTAGTTTAAAACAGATAAAAATATAGTCGCATTAGAGAAAAAGTATCTCAAGAAAGAATCATATTATTTTAAACTTCTATTTGGAGTAATGGGAATTCATGATGATCCTTCTATAACTGAAAATATTGATAAATCAAAAGTCTATGAATATAAAAAATATAGCTTTACAGCAAATATTAGAGTATATTCTGTTCCAAATTATACTATTTACCCCCAAAATAGTTTTGATCCAGATGATCATATAATTTATCAACCAATATTTGATAAACCTTATTAACCAGTATTTTTTAATTTCCGAGGAAAACTTATAATTTAAAGTAATTTTCCTTTTCAGGTAAAAGTTGATTCAATATTCTTCAGACAAAACCCTCGTTTTTCTAATAAATTTAACAATAAAAAAGTTCTTCAGTTTATCAATGGTACAGAAAATGTAGAATCTAAAGAATTATAAATATACGACGAAAACAACAAGGTTAATCACTTATATGAAATTAAAACGAGTGGAAAATATATAGATAGGTTTAGAATGTTAATCATACCAGATAATGAAGAAGATAATCTTTCATTGAGTAATTTTGATATGATATTGGAGACGGAAAGTCCACCATCAGCAAGTATTATTAGAAATCCAAAACCACAAAATATAGGGGAAATAAGGAATTTCGCGTTTTTACGAGCAACAGACTTTGAATACGTAAAACTATATTTTGTTGATAATGATATATTTACCTCAATCGATATTCATAAAAGTCAACAACAACAAAATTTTTTGATACCAACAAAAAGAGATGATGTATCTGTTTTAATATTAGTAAACCAAAATTTTCAGTTCATCTGAATAAGATTAATGATTTGAAAGAACAAATATCCTTGGTAAATATGCATTTTTTTATTAGTAAAGGTGAAGTAGCTTTATCTGAAATTCATTTAATTTAATTACCTAAAAAATGGAACTAGAAAGTAGAGAACAATACATGATAGAAAAACAAAACGAACTAAAACAATTCAACAAATGCAGAAAAACATGGAGTAGAATCGATTCTGTTTTCAAAACATTAAGTACAGTTTTAACAAGAGGGATAACGGTGGCAACAGCCGTAACCGGTGGATTAATGCTTCCAATAATTGTCCCAACTGTATTAGCCGCGTTCACTGCGGTTCAAACTTCATCTTGTGGTTTGATTACTTTAGGTTTTACATCAAAACAGAAAGCTTATTATAAAAAGAAAACAGAAATTTTAAATACATATCTTAATAAATTGTTTATATTTTTC